TAATTGATTATTAGTACTAAGATCTAAGTTAAATATTAAATAGACAATCCTCTATATCGAGTGAATCTAAATACAATTTTGGGCCTCCATTCAAATCTATTTCAGTTAAAGCAGAATTTTGAGTGATAAAATTTTTAAGTCTTTTGCTTATCTTTTACAAGAAGTTTTGACATCGAGAAAATTGCAAAGTCCTTAATTTTGTATTGTAATTCTCATCAAATTTTTTAATGAGAGTAGAAGAGACAGTTGAAACATCCAACCTTGGACATTGCTAAAATTTAGATATTTTATTTCAGCATAATTAACTACGAAAATTTTAACTTGGGATTATAATTACATTCAAGCTTAGCCAAATTAGTATTAGGATTTTTACTTAAAACGAAATCACATAATTTAGAACAACACTGTTAATGTCATTATCAAGGCCTTTAAATCTCTTAAATCAAAATATCTAAGGATTTTTTGAATAAGATTCAGTTTAATAGATAATATTTGCCAAAGTATTTATTCTCATTGACTAATTGTCATTCAGTAGCATTTTTCAGTGTGACCTTCCTTTGCACAGTGGTTTTTATTCGGCCTTAAAACAACGAAAGCAGCTGTCCACTCGAAATTCCTTTCATCCTCGACTTTCTCTTTCTTTCTATTAATTGCTCTTGAACTGCCTTTAAATATCATTCTTTAATTCTTAACTGCATGATCAATAAAAGAGTCATATTATTTTCAGATAAAATTTGTACTTACATTTTTCGGAGGTAATAATTTGTATTAAATGATCTTGATCCTCTTGGTTTCTGCAAAAGCATAAAGATTAGTCAAAGAATCATGATAAAGTTCCAAGTTAGCAAACCAAAGAAAATGGTTTTATAAATTCTGTATTGCTATTACGAAGAGATTTTTCCGTTTTACGTTCATTAAATCATTATTATTAAAAAAAAAATTAATTGAGGTAAAATCGAATTTCCACTTCAAATTCAGCTGTATTAAAAAGATCAAACAAATCCCCACAGATGGAAATTTAATATCCAGAATTTGTCCATAGTCATTCATTTTGCAACTGTAAATAAAAGAATCGATTAGAAGAACAATAAAGTAGAAGATGACAAAGCAGAGGAATAATAACAGAGTGGGATGGGGTGTCATAAGGCAGGGGACGTCACTCCATAGATAATTCTACTTCTAAAGGCATCACATTTAGTGGACTGCATGGTCCATATAATTAAACCTAAACTCGAATTCCTAAAATTATAATAATTTCAACCGTACACAAAAACTTTTCCAATCATCAACCCAGTTTTATAAATATCAAAATTTTATTTTTTTCATTGGATTTTTTTTTCTCACGAATAAAAATCTTTGATTAATAATCTCGTTTTAACGAATTTTGAATGAAATTTTCTTATATGCCAGCCCAGCCACTGGTTATACCGTATTACAAAAGTTTCTATTCTTAATACAAATTCTCGAATTATTCGTTTTATTTGTTTACTTGGATTATTTGCTTATTTGTTTTATTCGAATTACTCGTTTGATTCGCTCTATTCGCACTATTCATTTTATCAAATCATTTGTTTTATCAGACTATCCGTTTATTCATTTTATTCAAAAACCCTATTACTGTTGTATGTTACAATTTTTTAGCACACTGCAAATGCTAGGTATAAGTATCAACCGGGTCCAACCCGCATTCATTAATTATGCCTATCCGGTTCACAATGCGGGTCCAGGCCGGGTTGGTCCCATTGCAGACATCTAATCACCTTTGTAATTAACTTGTCATCAATGATCGATTGTTTTGCCTCTCCAATAAATCCAATAAATCTATTCTTCCACGCTCTATTGTCAAGTTCTTCGGTCACCAATGGGTTGTCCTTTTGTAAGTAATCCCGAAAGGAGAAATTTTGTGATGCGTCATTTTCATATGTAGATGCATTGTTATTTATAGCAAATTTATATCCTAATTTTTGAAAAATACAGAAATGTAGGACCGAAACTTACCTATGTCAACAAAAACGGTTTGCCTATTCATACACCTATACGTCAATGCTAAGTCTTCTTTTAATTATATGCCTAGTAATATAAATTATCAAAATTTACTTCCACCCGTTAAGACAGAGAAATTAATAATAAAAGGCTATGATGAAAATTATAATGAAATGATGACTATGTACATGAAGAATATATTGATGAAGATTACAATAACGTATCATTCAAAAAGGATATGGATCTCTTATAAGCCTATCGTCCCAGGGAATATACTCCAAATATGTAATTCAGGTAGTGGGAAAGGGATTTACGCTAGTTTCACATCCTTCCAAAGTTTATGGAATGAGAACGGCCAACGAAATGCTTTGCAAGACGAGGAATTATTTCGCCAAACCGTTGATAATTTCGTCACATTGACAAAATTTACGAAATTGAAATTGATTAATCAACCTTCATAACCAATGATCAAAAGTATGGCTAAATATTGATTTATATAAATAGTACAGTGATTCCACTAAAAAATGATTTAGATTCGGAACCTTTTGTCCAGTGATGAGTTATCACCATGGTGACTACATATAAAATCACT